TGAATTTGTTGAATTTGCAGCAGGATGCTCAGACGAAGAAACGGGGGGAGGCTGAATGGTATGATTGTTTGAAAGATTTTCTACAACTTTTACCTTTGGATTAGGGTTAGAGTTACTCTCCTTCTTTCGGGTTTGTTTCCTCGAGACTTCAGTAAAATCCACGTCCATGCCTTCATCCGAATGTATAGAATCGTCTGGAAGAGCCGTAGTTCCAGCCGAGGATGTCAAGGGAAGCTCATTGAGCAAGCTATTAACAGCCGCATTCACCGAGACATTATCTAGATTGTAATCTGAATCGATAGAATAAGCAGAGCCAGATGTAGAAAGGGGGGAGAAAGGGGGAGCCAAAGGAGAGGGAGGGATCGACAGAGGTAGAGGAAATGACGGCACCGACGTCGTCGTCGACGAGAGCGGTCCGCCCGCACTGTCCATAATGGACAAGGCGGGATTCCCGTCCCCCCCATGAACCGGCGGCGGTACGCCGGCCATGGGCGCGCGAAAAACCTCGCGCGCGGTAAAGTACAAGCCCACTTATTAATGGACACACACGCGCGACTACGCTTCATAAATACCACACGCGCTACCGCCGGAGCGGCAGGCGACAACACGGACCGAAAAAGGGCCACACGAAACGCTAAAAACCGTTATAAACGGCAGATGTAACGGACGCACACGAACGAGCAACCTAACGCTACAATGGCGCGACGCGCAATCCAACACACGTTGACACTCGCTCAGGAAAAAGAAACGGATTCAAGACTTCTTGATAACGCAAAGGTTATTTTAACCTGTCAGAAAGCGCACATTCCACAGTACACAGTTCTGATAGGTTAAAATTCTTATATTTAATATCTGTTCCTAATATTTCTCCTATTGTGCGCAGACCCTAAGAACAAGACTTCTTGGTTATAACCATGATATAAAGACAAGGGTATGCTCTTGCGCATCGATAAATCACGTGACTGTCAACTGGCCAATCAGAATTGTTACCAAGTTACGTCATCATTACGCGGTAATTTCGAAATTATTATAATTTCTTTGCAATGTACATTATAAAAAATTACTATTTTACTATTTTTATAAGTGTCAGCATAAAAAATAATCTTTTATTGAATTTTTTGTAATACATTAATACGCATTACTTTACTGAGATGTGAGATACAAAGTATAATATGTTTAAGTATATGTAAAGTTCATTTTGGACGGAAAAATTGTATGAAAGTAATATTTTATTAATTAAGTATGAAATAAACTTGTATGAAATAAACAAAAATTAATCTTATTATTATATTAAATTAAATTTTAATGATAACGCATGTAAATTAATGTATATATTATATTTAATACATAAATTAGTTTATTAAATTGACATTGTATTAATTTAAATATATAAAATTTTCCAAATAAATCAATTACATTAAACATTTTAATATAAAAAAAAATACGAAAAAAACATCATTATTTTTCCGGTAAATTAAAATGTATTATTTATCAATATACTTACAACGGTCTTTGCAGTACTTTAATTGAAATGTTTATTTTAAGAATAAAACGTATCATGTAAT